GAGTATATCCAAGGTAATATCAGTGAAACTGCTCTACAGAAAAGTGTTATGAGTAGACATGGCCTACGGAGTGCTTCCACCAATGTTAGGGGAGGATTGGACACCTCTATTGTGAACGTTTCCAGTCCAAAGCCCAGTAATATACAAAATCAGACCGATGAGATTAACGGTACGGATTCTAGTCAAACGCCAATCCACTCAAATGAAAATACATCTAGCAGGCTTAGGGACGGAAGCCGACACAGCGCTGACGATCCAAATCGTATCTTGATAACAAATGTGCTGGAATTAAAACAGATTTTGCAAGAAAACAATGACAGTATTATAAACAGATTAAATAACATAGAGAAAAGCGTGAATTCGGACCTGAAAAATATGAAACGGATTCTTGAGGAGAAAAATATTGAAATTGGTCGTCTAAAGAGTCAATTGGAACAACTGAAGGAAATGAGAAATAATGATGATAAACCTACAACGGCTAGAAACATTTGTGATGACGTAATAAATCATTCTTCCGATAAACATTTTGCTCTAGATAAAAACCAAAATGGTAGCTCGGTAGAATGTGATACTGAAACTTCACCTAAGGTCATCAACAAGGATAATCGACTGAACGGAGGTCATGACACCCCACAACCGATCACAGTTGTATCGGGAATTAGCTGCAATACCGAAACAGAACAATTCGAGGTTCCGAATGAAGAATTCAGTATGCTTAGGGAACGTCCTGTAAGTGACGATCTATATAGTAACGACACGGAGAATCCTGCCTCTGAAAGTCAGAAGTGGAACAATGTACAGCATGACATAACAGAAAATACTCGGATGGATGAATGGTCAACAGTCGTCAAGCGCAAACATAAACGCTTCGATAAAGGAGACATGTTTCCTGCTAAAGGAACTGAACATTGTAATAATCAAAACCATCCTAATCCCAGTTACGAACGACACACGGACTTTCAAGGTCATAGTGGTCATGACTACAATCAACACAGACTTGTTCCGAAGACCAGTTCGTTTACGGGTATAATGCGGCGCCGTGTGACGCGTTTAGTTCTTGCCAATATAACAGCAGATAGACCGTTCGAGTTAGTTGAGCAAGGAATAAGGGAACACTGTCGTGAGAATGGTGTAGTGGTAACATTTGTAAAACTGCTAAAAATGAAGGAGGAAACCAGATTCCGTATTCCATCGTATACTGTTAAGGTGAATACTGCTGCGAGAGATACGTCAACGGTATTAGATCCAAACTTCTGGCCGGAAGGGGTTACTTGCCGTGAATGGATTTCCCGTGGAGCGAATGAAAACAGAGGCTTCTCATAATGACTCTAACTATTAAATACGTCCTTACCTGTTGTAATATTAGCACTATTTCCAGTCATGATAAATTTGTGTACATGGAATGCAAGAGGTGTAATGTATGGGACATCATTTTTATCGGAACACTTAAAGAACACAGACGTATTAGTAGTTTGTGAACACTGGCTTAACAATGCAAATTTTGGGTTTTTAGAACATTTTGATGAAGACTTCAAAGTCACTGGAACTATTAAACAGGACAATGTGTCATCACGTGGGTCTGGAGGTGTAGCAATTCTCTCAAGATTGTCAAAATTTAGTACAATTCGTAGAATTGTAGCCGAAAACTCGGACAACGTAACAGCAGTTTGTTTGAATAGGCAAAATTCGGAAAGGCTATTTGTGATCGGCGTGCTCTTGCCTTCCAGCAACAAAACGGACAAACAGTATTGTGAAAGTGTAAACGAGTTATTTGCGTTATATGATCAATGCTATGAGCAAGGTACAACAATTTTGTGTGGCGATCTTAACGCGGACATTTCATCCAACAGCTACAGATCTAGAATATTACTTCAACACTTGACTGACAGAAACATGATTAATGCTGTGAATCTAACTATCCGGACGGGTCCGGCATACACATGGACAAATAAACATCACACATCAAAAACACTGATAGATTATATAGCTATTCCAGCATACTTGGAAACCTTCATTAGGTCAAGTAAAGTTGATAGTACATGCTCGTATAAAATTTCCGACCATCTTCCAATACTCGTCTCGATAGACGAAGCTGCTTTCCGTAGAACAGAAAAACAAAAGGCAAATGGATTCCCGAAGTGGATTAGAGCATCCTGCTTACAACTTGATATGTATTTAACCCAAGTGGAAGAGTTGCTTACCAATCTTCAACTGGATTCATCGTCAATCAAACATATGTCATTAGAAAACCGTCTTGAAAATATAATAAACATTATGAAGTCAGCATCTGAAGAGAACATTCCAACTGGGACATTTAGGACGTGTTTAAAACCGTACTGGAAAAAGTATCAACTTAACAATCACCATTATAATATGAGGGTAGCGAGACGTTCATGGATAGCGGAAGGAAAACCAAGGACGGAATCAAATGTGATGTACCAAATATATAAGGACAGAAAACGAGAATTTAGAAAACAAAAACGCTATGCGACAAAGAAATGGAACAAGAAAAAACAGGACGAACTAATAAATTCGGCTGAAATAGATATTCAGGAGTTTTATAAAACTGTTAGGAAACAACGTGGCAAGACGCCTATTGATAAACCTCTCGTCTACAAAGACACGGTGGCGACGGACGATCGGACAAAGTGTAACCTTTGGGCTCAGTATTACGGTGATTTATTGTCAGTGGATACAGAGGAGTTGTTTGACGTACAATTTAAAGCTGAGGTTGATGACACCATTCAAGAGCTTTTACGTTCCAATTCTTCGTACAGTGTAGATAATGTGCTTGAAGGGGAAATATCAGAAGATGAACTACAATTTCAAATAAGAAAACTGAAAACTGGTAAGTCTCCAGGGCTCGATAGAATCTGCAATGAACATATTAAATATGGCGGAAGAACCCTTGTCAAATCACTGTGCGTTATATTCAATATTGTATTGTCAATGGAATGTGTTCCACAAAGGTTTAAGGAGGGAATAGTAATACCAATTTTCAAAGGTGGGAATAAAAATCCGTCAGACCCAACAAGTTACCGCGGAATAACTCTGACATCTTCCATCGGTAAGTTATTTGAAAAAGTACTTCTGGAAAGGATAGAGAAATGGATTATACACAACAAAGTTGATTTTCCACATTCTCTACAGTTTGGATTTAGAAAAAACATGGGGGCGATCCCAGCAATCTTCACGTTAAAAGAAATAGTATCCTTTTATACCGAAAGGAAATCATCGCTCTACATCGCTTTTTTAGATAACGAGAAGGCGTTTGACAGGGTATGGCTGAATGGTCTCTTTTTGAAAATATATGAACTTGGTATACGCGGCCGGATGTGGAAAATTATCTTCAGCTCTTACATGCAAACAAAAGTATGTGTTAGACTAAAGGGAGAACTAAGCGACTTCGTACACGTGACGCGCGGTGTCGGTCAGGGAAAAGTTCTCAGCGCTTTTATGTTTAAACTGTATATTGACGGATTGATGAAGGCTATATGTGGAACAAACTGTGGCATAAACATTGTGGATAGACATATACCTGGTATCTTACTTGCTGATGACACCTGTCTGATATCCTCTAGTAAGAACGGCTTACAAAACTTAATCGAAATTTCAAGAATGTATGCCTTTAAATGGCAATTGAAATATAACGCGTCCAAGAGTGCTATCATCGTATTCAATAACCGAAACCAGTCTGCAAAATATGACTTTTCTATGGGAGGAAATACAATAGAAACAAAGGAGAGTGTGATATACGCAGGAACTGTCATATCTAATACTAATCCTGTAAATAAATGCCTGGACAGGGTTTGTCACAAACTACAAAGATCATTTCATTCTCTTCGAGATATGGGTCTTCGGTTTGGAGAAATTAATCCGATAGCGTCTTCTCTTGTCTGGAAACGTGTCATCTTACCCGCTGGCATGTATGCGTGTGAGACTTGGGGAGAAGTACGAGAGAGAAGTTTGGACAAACTTGAGGTAACCCAGCGGAAGTGCTGTCGAATCCTTCAAGGATTTGACAAAAGTTCCCCGTCAGAAAGTACCATTGAAACCCTTGGTATTTGTAGGCTAAAACATTACATAGATAAGTACCGATTATTGTTTTTTGGAAGACTGTGTTTGACAGATTTCACCAAAATACACAAACAGTTGTTTAATTTTAACATTGGAATATTGCTTATTTTTGGATTATTCGAATGCACGGATATCTTTCGAACACTGATTACTACGGTTTATAGATACGGACTTGAAGAATATCTGAATAGTTTTATCAAATACGGCTGCTTTCCTACTAAAATTGCTTGGAAATATATTGTGAACAAAACAGTATCTGAGACGTCTGAACTTGAATGGAAACAGCGTATGTTAAGGCGAACAGATCTTACTCGCTTCCAAACCATACATCCAAGAATCGCCCCGCACAAACTCTGGTTGCTGTGTTTTGAATTAGATGATATGTGCAGAGAATTTGGATTTCTTGTGAAACTTGGAGCACTACCTATCACAAAATGTATCTGTGACTCGTGCAAGCAAAATGTGGATGATATTGTGAAACATCTAGTAATCGACTGTCGTATATATTTTGATGAAAGAGATAGACTACAAACAAGTATTGTAAATTTACTTCCGGTTGTACAGAGTGTCTGGATATTGAATGATGATGATAGGCTTATAAACTTCCTTCTTGGGGGAGATGATGATATGTTGGAAGTTAGTCCCGAACACTGGAAGATGCTAATGGTGGAATCCGCGCGGACTTTCTATAAAATGAAACCAGCGCTAGTGCATTGGCTACACCGCCTGTAGTGTAATTCAGTAATAATTTCTAACCTCATAGACTAAAACAATGAACAGTTAAATGTCAGAGGAAGATATACTTTCCTTCTGGACCAGATCACAACATATTAAATTATGTCCATGTATATTTATATTATCGTTTATGTTTTGAATTGATCTTCATGCGTTGGAGGAAATAAAGAAATTCAATTCAATTCAATTCAATTCCTAGAAGTGACTTTTCCACTTTGGTGGCACCCATTTGTGTTTCTTTTTAGTTTTAGGTTTTGAAGTATCTCCAGGCAATGCAGAGGCATTCGAAGAGGCGTCTGCTTCCGATTTTGGTCTCTTTGAGACAGCCGTTTTATTTTCAACTTGGTTTTCATTGTAACTGAGAATCCTTGGTTTCTTTTGTTGTTTTTTGCCTTGAGGATGTATGTCTCTCCAGGTTTTTTCTGTTCCATATCCTTAGAAGTCACTGGCTTCTCAAAGGCTTGCTTTTCAACTTTATCATTCTGTGTTTCTCTTGTTTTCGGCTTCCCTTTCGGTTTTGTATCGTTTTCAATACTGCTCCTACTGGCATTTGCCGGTTTCTGTTTTTGAAAAGTGTTGTCATTGCTGTTGTTGTATTCGTCTTGATAATTGTCATGTTCCTTCTCATCATCAATCGTATCCTCTTACTTGTCTTTGTGATTTGATCTTTCGTTATCCGAGGGCGGATAGATTTCGTTACTAGGTTTGTTGGGGTAATCTTTTATTTTTCGTTTTGTTTTGCGATACATTTTTTTGTCACACAAGTTTGTTGTTTCTGTCATCCAAGTTGACAATCACATACGTCTTTTGATTTGTCTTTGGTGACTAGTTTTTGTATATTATTTTTCGTTTTGCGAGCACACAAGTTTGTGTCCCCAGCAATCACATGGTCGTTTCGTATATTATTTAGCAATGTCTTAGCTTGTATCGTATGTTTACAGCGACAACAATACACAGAAAATGGACAGGGTGCGTGAGGACCCAGGTGTGCATCGAAGGCAATGGCTTTTACAACTCGGCCGCAGTGTATTAAGGAAGTCTTGTGGTGATTCCATTTCCGGTTTCGCTCGCCCTTTTCATGTTCCGGTGTCATACACGTGGACATATTCTTTACTGGCGTTCGACTTTGATAGTTGACTCCCATCATCACATGATGTGCGTTTCCATGGTTATTACCATTAATTTGTTTTATGTTTGTCTGTTGCCGAGATTCATACTGTAACAAAGTATTAGGTGTCGCTATTACGTCCTGTTGTAGTGAGGTGCTCGAAGTAGATTTGTCAATACCTATTGGGCGCGTATGTGAACAATACGTACACGTTGTATTTTCGAGCGTACTTTTCGTCTCTACATGTCGCTCTCTCTTTTCACAATGACAGCACTTACAATATGTAAACCAGCAACAAAACCTGCAACACTTACAGCCCTTGTCATCTTTCTCTTCGTGGAACATTGTGACTGGAGTTGATCGTGGCCGCGATATTTGAGAAGCAGTTCTTATATATTCTGTATGTTCTGCACTCTCCGGTTGTACCTTTGCAGAGCTATTCCATGAAAACTGTGAAGCTCTTCTGGTCATTTTGGTGTCTTCTGCGGGCCATGCCTGGGTAGGTTCACGTTCTATCACGAGCGAAGTGTCCATCCTTGACTCTCTGTCTGTTGTTTGAATGTGATGAAGATTTTCTTGTTTTCTCTCTCTCTGGTAACACTTGCAACACTGACATCCGATGAGAAGTAGAATGGCAGCAATGAGTGCGAGTATAGCAGCAATCAGTGCCAGGTAAAACGACACGTGAGGATATTCCATCGGAGAGTTCAGTCCATAAATCAAGAGGCCGACGATGATTAGCAACACTACAAAAATTGTGGAAAACTTTCATTGAAACATAACGTAACAAGCACTTCACTTTATTCATCTGTTTATCATTTAATACATCATTATGATGAAGCATCTTAATTGCTTACGGATACAGTGTAAAGTTGAATTAGTTTAAATACAAGTCACCCGCTACGTGAAAATCGAGCACCATGCAAACGATCAACACTTCACAAACTTGTGAATTATGTGGTCCCACTCACAAAGGGTCAAAAGGGGTCACGGTTGACTTAAATTTCAAAAATCATCTTTCAACACCAACATGTGGTAGAATAAGATGCTCCTCATCGATAGAACAGTCTTTAAGGTGTTTTACCAAAAAAATCATTACCATAGGGTCAAACCGTGGGAGGGGTTGAATCTTTCATTTTGGGGCATATTTTTATTTATTAATGTACATCTTCGTCAATCCAAGTAATGTCAAGTTTTCAAATGAGAACAAAGTAGACATCAACGGAACCAACAGAAAAGCTAACGAGCATTAAACACGTCCAGCTTCACATCACACAAAGAAATATAAGGCTCCTCAATAAGATCACTATGGCAACCGTAACACTTCCCGATAATTTTCATCAACCTGTAATTTGGAAACCCTTAGTTACCACGCTAGATAATTTTCAATGGCGTCGATGGAGCAGAAGGCACTTGCTCTTCCGCTTGGTTTTATTATTCTTGTAATTGTTAGGCGTCTCCGTGTAAAATCGTAGCGTCATGTCATCATATACTTACCGACCATCAGAAGTGATATAACGGTCACAGCATGAAGGATTACCTTCCAGGATATGTCTAGATATGTCTTTGTAAAATCTTAGCGTCATATCATCATATACTTACCGACCATCAGAAGTGATATAACGGTCACAGCGTGAAGGATTTCCTTCCAGGATATGTCTAGAAGATAGATACATAGGGCCACAACAACCAGTACCAAGAGCACTAAGGCCATCATCATTACCGTCCTCACTATCAGCAACCATACTGAAACAGAATCATTTATCTACATGTATATTTTGTGTGTTTCACCGCTGTCCACCATAGCTGTATTAGTAAATGTATACCATATAAATGATTTCTCTGTCAGATTTAGTGGGTTTTGCTTGTTTGTGTTTTGTTGTACTATTCCAGTAAAAGATAACAACCTTGGGTTTTTGTGTAATGGCGATTTTCTGTCCCTTTTATAACAAAATCGCGATATCATGGAACAGCTAGAAACAGTGCTGACTACAGAAAAGTCACATTTATTAGGCGATCTAACTAGAAAAAATGTACAGTTACTGAGATTATTCTCCGACGAAAACAAGGAAAAGTAAAGGTACTGGATGCTGTTTCCTCATGACACATGACACGAAACCACACATAACAACTGATGAAGAAATAAATAAATAAACGATACAAACGTTTCTTGTTGATGTTCAAGCATATACATTATATTTCTGTGTTCGGCTATAAACTTTATTTGAGATAATTATATACATATAGACATATATGTATATAGATGTAACTTAAAGATGCTTTGTGTATCGATTAAATAGTTGAAAAAAATCAAATCAACACGACAAATGTATTCCGCTAACGTTTTCAGGCCTAACGTCATAATGTCGTTACTAAGACATCATAATAAATGAATACATTTGTCGTGTTGATTTGATTTTTTTTCAACTATATATATATATATTGGTGATTCAATAAGAGGAATAATTGATACTGATGAGGAGTTTTCTTATCTTAATTTAGTATGAGGAAAAGACAGGGCTAAGAAAATGACATTTATGAAAATAGCACATAGCGGGTAGAAAATTCGGGTGCATCAAAACACTGTGTTATAGATAAACATGGAAATCAGTATTCAATCATCCTTCTGCTTATAGCCAGTCCGTGTTACACCAAAATACAAGAATGTAGAGCATATATATGATAAAACGTTGGTTTGGTGTTTTCTGTCCAGACAAACTCATCTTTTTTCAAAGTTTTGATCTTAAGTAATAGTTTTACATATATTCTGAAACTCCGGAACCCAATGCCAACGCTACTTCTATGACTTAACATAAACATTTAATTTACCTCCTGTGGTAGAGCTGCTTAATTATTTTACAACAACTGCGAAACAAGCTTTAAGCTTATATCAATCGCTCTTGTTTTCCCGGGTGGAAGTGCGGGGAGTGTGAGTGTGAGAAGAAGCCGGAGTACCCGGGGAAATCCCCACATGGCTGGGAAGTTGACCCCATACTTTTTTACGTCCGTTTCGGGTATCGAACCTCGTCTATTTGAAAGGCAAAACCTATTTCATTCTTGATCAGTTTTAAAATTTGTCGTGCTGTATTAGTGGAAGGATTTCCACATGGGAGGTTATGTTTCCGGATATAACGATATTTCGAGTACACATTTGTATTAATGCAGCTGAGTCTTTATCAAAATGATATGTGACGTCATATTTCCATAATGTAAGGTGTTTCTAGATAAAAATAATGAGGTATTTAAATACGTTTTGTCAGTTATAAACAGTGGAAGGTGATTAAATGCGAATCAACCTATATTACTAATAGGTACCAGTATTTTAAAGTCACGAGACGTGAAATAATCTGTTATGTTCAGGTAATGCAGTGCGATATTATCAAAACAATGATACATCATGATCATGAAAAATAAAAACATTTAAATCGATACAGTTGTCATTTAATATGAAATGAAGACTTGTTCATATTTCTAAATTTGTGTCCTGTTTTTTCGTTACAAACCTTGTGTTTGTAACCATTAAAACCAGAAATTTTGTTTGACATTTTTATCAGTTAAATGATATGTAGATCAAAATACAGTATCTCTGAAATACCGGGCAGTTCCAAATTCGTATGTTTCTGTTCATAAATGTTGATACATTTCTTAATTTCGTCCTCCCCACTAAGGCTTTACTTAAACACACCGTCGTTATTATTTAAGCATCTTTTATCTTACCTTCTACTGAGCTGTGACTCCAACATTCTGACCAGCCGTCGGTAAGGAAACATGTTGACCACAGTCCTAGTGCAACGTCGCCTGTGGAAACAGCTGTTATCTGCCAGAAAGGTAGTGCCACAGCTAGAACGTTGATACAGAGTGCTGCTAACGTTACACACAGGGCGGCCAATGCATATCCTTGTCTGGGCTTCATGGCCACACTTTACACGCAAACAACCGCAGGATCAGACAACACGAATCAGTAACAAATATACCTTTGACTTGCATCTTATCATGGACATATGAATAGGTCAAATGCGAGACAACACATCTAACCTTATTTAAGCATGCATGAACAACGATCACTTTTTGAAATTAACAACGAAGGAAAGAAGAGTAAGTTACGGTCCATCGCTTTAATAGCTCATAATATATACCCTATGAGAAATTAACCCACAAAGCAGGTTGTAGTTCCTGTAAATAATTCAGCTAACTGATTTGTCAACGTCAACAAGTTATTACGTTGCGTAAAAACGTATTAGACTCGCGTCAATGTCACGATGTAATACTCGCAAAACATTTTGTTGATTCAACGAAAACACAATGATAATATCAACGTGACCTATAGTCTAATATCATTGTAACCATTTTCTCCTAATACCACGACGACCCGTTCTCCAGTACCATTGTAACCACTGTCCACTAATACCACGACGCCCCGTTCTCCAGTACCATTGTAACCACTGTCAACTAATACCACGTCACAACGTTCTCCAGTACCATTGTAACCACTATCCCCTAATACCACAGCGCCCCGTTCTCCCGTACCATTGTAACCACTGACCCCTAATACCACCCCGTCCCGTACTCCAGTACCATTGTAACCACTGTCCCCTAATACCACGACGCCCTTTGTTCGAGTAACATTGTAACCACTGTCCACTTTTACCACGACGCTCCGTTTGCCAGTACCATTGTAAAGACTGTCCCCTAATACCACGACACCAAGTGTTCCAGTATCATTGTAACCACTGTCCCCTAATACCACGACAAATCGATCTCCAGTACCATTGTAACCACTGTCCCCTAATACCAAGACGCCCCGTTCTTCAGTACCATTGTAACCAATTTCCCCTAATACCACGACGCCCCGTTCTTCAGTACCATTGTTACCACTATCCCCTAGTACCAAGACGCCCCGTTCTTCAGTACTATTGTAACCACTGTCCGCTAATAGCACGATGCCATGTGCTCGAGTAACATTGTGACCACTGTCACCTAGTACCAAGACGCCCCGTTCTTCAGTACTATTGTAACCGCTGTCCGCTAATAGCACGATGCCATGTGCTCGAGTACCATTGTAACCACTGTCCCCTAATACCACGACGCCATGTGTTCGAGTACCATTGTAACCACTGTTCCCTAATACCACTACGACCCTTGCTCCAGTACCATTGTAACCACTATCCCCTAATACCACAGCACCCCGTTCTCCAGTGCCATTGTAACCATTGTCCCCTCATACCACGATGCCCCGTCCTCCAGTACCATTGTAACCACTTTGCCCTTATACCACAACTTCCCGTTCTCCAGTAACACTGTAACCACTGTCCCATAATACCACGACTCCCCGTGTTCTAGTACCATTGTAACCACTGTCCCCTAATACCACGACACCTGGTGTCCCAGTACCATTGTAACCACAGTCCCCTAATACCACGACGCCCCTTCTTCCAGTACCATTGTAACCACTATCCCCTATTTCCACGATTCACCTTGCTGCAGTACCATTGTAACCTCTATCCCCTAATACCACAGCGCCACGTTCTCCAGTACAATTGTAACCACATTTCCCTAATACCACGACTCCCCGTTCTCAAGTACCATTGTAACCACTGTCCCCAAATACCACGACGCCCCTTGTTCCAGTACCATTGTAACCACTGTCCCCTAATACCACGAGGCCCCGTTCTCCAGTACCATTGTAACTACTGTCCGATAATATCACGATGTCCCGTTTTCCAGTACCATTGTAACCACTGTCCCTTAATACCACGACACCCAGTGTTCCAGTACCATTGTAACCTCTATCCCCTAATAACACAGCGCCACGTTCTCCAGTACAATTGTAACCACATTTCCCTAATACCACGACGCTCCGTGCTCCTGTACCATTGAAACAACTTTCCCGTAAAACCACGACGCCACTTGCTCCAGTATCATTGTAACCACTATCCTCTAATACCACGACGTCCCTTGCTCCAGTACCATTGTAACCACTGACCCCTATCATCACGACGCCTCGTTCTCAAGTACCATTGTAACCACTTTCCCCTAATACACCAACACCCCGTTCTCCAGTACCATTGTAACCACTGTCCCCCCATACCTTGCCGCTCCTTGCTCCAGTACCAGTGTAATCACTATCCTCTAATACCACGACGCCCCGTTCTCCAGTACCATTTAACCACTGTCCCCTAATACCATGAAACCCGGTGTTCCAGGACCATTGTAACCACTGTCCCTTAATACAACCACGTCCCGTTCTCCAGTACCATTGTTACCACTGTCCCCTAATATCACGACGCCCCCTTCTTCAGTACCATTGTTACCACTGTCCCCTAGTACCACGACGCCATGTGCTCGAGTAACATTGTGACTACTGTCCGATAATACCACGATGCCCCTTGCTCCAGTACCATTATAACCACTATCCCTTAATACCACAGCTCCAGCCCCGTTCTCCAGTAAAATTGTAACCACTGTTCCCTAATACCACTACGACCCTTGCTCCAATACCATTGTAACCACTTTCCCCTTATATCACGACGCCCCGCTGGCTTGCTCCAGTAACCACTTTCCCATAATACGACGTTACCACTATCCCGATATTACCACTGACGCCCCGTTCTCCAGTACCATTGTAACCACTGTCCCCTAATACCACGACGTCCCGTTCTCCAGTACCATTTTAACCACTGTCCCCTAATACCACGACGTCCCGTTCTCCAGTACCATTGTAACCACTGTTCCCTAATACCACGACGCCCCTTTCTCCAGTACCATTGTAACCACTGTCCCTTTATACCACGAAACCTCGATCTCCAGCACCATTGTAACCACTATCCCCTAATACCACGACTCCCCGTTCTCCAATACCATTCTAACCACTGTCCCCTAATACAACGACGCCTAGTTCTTCAGTAACATTGTTACCACTGTAATCTAGTACCACGACGCCCCGTTCTCCAGTACCATTGTAACCACTGTCCCCTAATACCACGAGGCCCCGTTCTCCAGTACCATTGTAACCTAATACACCAACACCCCGTTCTCCAGTACCATTGTAACCACTGTCCCCCATACCTTGCCGCTCCTTGCTCCAGTACCAGTGTAATCACTATCCTCTAATACCACGACGCCCCGTTCTCCAGTACCATTTAACCACTGTCCCCTAATACCATGAAACCCGGTGTTCCAGGACCATTGTAACCACTGTCCCTTAATACAACCACGTCCCGTTCTCCAGTACCATTGTTACCACTGTCCCCTAATATCACGACGCCCCCTTCTTCAGTACCATTGTTACCACTGTCCCCTAGTACCATGACGCCATGTGCTCGAGTAACATTGTGACTACTGTCCGATAATACCACGATGCCCCTTGCTCCAGTACCATTATAACCACTATCCCTTAATACCACAGCGCCCCGTTCTCCAGTAAAATTGTAACCACTGTTCCCTAATACCACGACGACCCTTGCTCCAGTACCATTGTAACCACTTTCCCCTAATACCACGACGCCGCTGGCTCTAGTACTATTGTTACCACTTTCCCATATTACCATGACGCCCCGTTCTCCAGTACCATTGTAACCACTGTCCCCTAATACCACGACGTCCCGTTCTCCAGTACCATTTTAACCACTGTCCCCTAATACCACGACGTCCCGTTCTCCAGTACCATTGTTACCACTGTTCCCTAATATCACGACGCCCCCTTCTTCAGTACCATTGTTACCACTGTCCCCTAGTACCACGACGCCCCGTTCTTCAGTACCATTGTTACCACTGTCCCCTAATACCACGACGTCCCGTTCTCCAGTACCATTGTTACCACTGTTCCCTAATATCACGACGCCCCCTTCTTCAGTACCATTGTTACCACTGTCCCCTAGTACCACGACGCCCCGTTCTCCAGTACCATTGTAACAACTGTTCCCTTATATCACGACGAACCTTGTTCCAGTGCCATTGTAACCACTCTCCCCTAATACCACGACGCCATGTGCTCCAGTACCACTGTAACCACTGTCCCCTAATATCACGACGCCCCTTGCTCCAGTACCATTGTAACCACTGTCCCCTAACACCACGACGCCCCTTGCTCCAGTACCATTGTAACCACTATCCCCTAATACCACAGCGCCCCGTTCTTCAGTACCATTGTAAGCACTGTTCCCTAATACCACGACGCCCCGTTCTCCAGTACCATTTTAACCACTGTCCCCTAATACAACGACTCTCCGTTCTCCAGTACCATTGTAACCACTTTCCCCTAATACCATGACGCCCCTTGCTCCAGTACCATTGTAACCACTGTCCCCTAATACCACGACTCCCCGTTCTCCAGAACCATTGTAACCACTGTTCCCTAATACCACAACGCCCTGTTCTCCAGTACCATTGTAACCACTGTCCCCTAATACCACGCCGTCCCATTCTCCAGTACCATTGTAACCACTTTCCCCTTTTAACATGACGCCCCGTTCTCCAGTACCATTGTAACCACTTTCCCCTAATACCACGCCGTCCCGTTCTCCAGTGCCATTGTAACCACTGTCCCCTAATACCACGACGCCATGTGCTCGAGTACCATTGTAACCACTGTCCCCTAATACCACGACGCCCCGTTCTCCAGTATCATTGTAACCACTTTCCCCTAAACCACGCCGTCCCGTTCTCCAGTGCCATTGTAACCACTGTCCCCTAATACCACGACGCCCCGTTCTCCAGTATCATTGTAACCACTTTCCCCTAATACCACGCCGTCCCGTTCTCCAGTGCCATTGTAACCACTGTCCCCTAATACCACGACGCCATGTGCTCGAGTACCATTGTAACCACTGTCCCCTAATACCACGACGCCATGTGCTCGAGTACCATTGTAACCACTTTCCCCTAATACCACGACGCCCCGTTGCTCCAGTATCATTGTAACCACTGTCCCCTAATACCACGACGCCCCTTCTCCAGTGCCATTGCATTGTAACCACTGTCCCCTAATACCACGACGCCATGTGCTCGAGTACCATTGTAACCACTGTCCCCTAATACCACGACGCCATGTGCTCGAGTAACATTGTAACCACTGTCCCCTAATACCACGACGCCATGTGCTCGAGTACCATTGTAACCACTGTCCCCTAATACCACGACGCCATGTGCTCGAGTACCATTGTAACCACTGTCCCCTAATACCACGACGTCATGTGCTCGAGTACCATTGTAACCACTGTCCCCTAATACCACGACGCCATGTGCTCGAGTACCATTGTAACCACTGTCCCCTAATACCACGACGCCATGTGCTCGAGTACCATTGTAACCACTGTCCCCTAATACCACGACGCCCTTTGTTCGAGTAACATTGTAACCACTGTCCCCTAATACCACGACGCCATGTGCTCGAGTACCATTGTAACCACTGTCCCCTAATACCACGACGCCATGTGCTCGAGTACCATTGTAACCACTGTCCCCTAATACCACGACGCCCTTTGTTCGAGTACCATTGTAACCACTGTCCCCTAATACCACGACGCCATGTGCTCGAGTACCATTGTAACCACTGTCCCCTAATACCACGACGCCATGTGCTCGAGTAACATTGTAACCACTGTCCCCTAATACCACGACGCCATGTGCTCGAGTAACATTGTAACCACTGTCCCCTAATACCACGACGCCATGTGCTCGAGTAACATTGTAACCACTGTCCCCTAATACCACGACGCCATGTTCTCGAGTAACATTGTAACCACTGTCCCCTAATACCACGACGCCCCTTGCTCCAGTACCATTGTAACCACTGTCCCCTAATACCACGACGCCATGTGCTCGAGTAACATTGTAATCTTTGGGTACTACTATGATTTGTTCTTGGTACCACAGTAATTGATGTTTAGAAACTGAAGTTGTTGTGGAGGATAACGGGATTTTCACTCTATTTTTGTTAGGTATGCCTTTTCCCTGACATCTTTTGAGCTTGGCTACCCATTATACTCCATCTAAGGGATGAACATTTTCCCCAACAGATTCCTATTATCGTTTCCAAGTACAGTTAACAGCTGTAAACATTATCTTAATTAATTCAGTCGATTCTGGAAACATTAGTCATGCAGGAGAGAGTTTTATGTTTTAAACGTTAATGTTTCAACGCTTATAGTAGGTATATGAAATATACACCTCGGTTATCAGGTGTAGAAATCCAATATATTAACACACAGAAACAGAATAATTCTTTATTGAATTGTGTCTGTTTATCAAACCGAAATTGACAAGATTCAAATACACAGCCTACATTGCAAATTAATTGCTGATAGCACAAGGAACGATATGCTGATAGCACCTTTGATAACCCCCTTTTCTCCTCTTCACTATATCGTTATGTCCCTTTCTCCTCCATAACTGGACCTGTTTTTCACTTCCCCCTCTATCTCTGAATTGTTATGTCCCTTTTTCCTCCATTACTGGACCTGTCTGTCACTTTCCCCTCTATCTCTGTATCGTTAGGTCCCTTTTCCCTCCATTACTGGACCTGTTTTTCACTTCCTCCTCTATCTTTGTATCGTTATGTCCCTTACCCCTACATTACTGGACCGTTTCGTCACTTCTCCCTCTATCTTTGAATTGTTAGGTCCCATTCTTCTCTGTTACTGGACAGACTGTTCTGTCCCCCCAACCCCCACATCTTTGAATTCTTAGGTCCCTTTCTACTCCGGTTCTCGTTTGCTGAAGATGTATAAACATGATGTGGTCTTCATTTATAGAATCAGAGATGATCCGGAGATTTAATTTCAATGAGGTCGTCAAAGATCACATTGTTCATGATGTAATACTTAAACGTGCATCTAAAAGATGATAGTTTCATTTCGTAGCTGTTTCCAAAACCCGCCATGTATATCTTGGTCAATTCAAGTAAGTAATATCACAAACAAGGAACAACCCAGCACACTCACGAACATTTAACATGGCTAAATTCATATTGCAAAAAAAATTAAAAATGATTGT